TTATTAATTAATTAATCAAATATTTTAATAATCCATAATTAATATTAATAATTATGAATTATTGCCAATGATCATATTTAGCTCCTCCTCTTCCCAACAGTGTCTTTAGGCTTTTTGAGTTATTCACAAAAATATTTGAAACGGTTAGTATAGCGCCACCTATGAACGAATCGTGGGCATTCTTTCTGGTATAGTTACTCATGGTCTCTAGTTGCAGTATGCAAATTTTAAGCATTTTAAGCAATGCCTTTTTGAGTTATTCATGAAAAGCTTTGTGGACCAACCAACTGACCGACCAACCGACCGACAGAGTGACCTATAGAGCTGCAGCTCGCTGCTAAAAAGAAAAAGAAAAAAGTATTTACTGTATTTGAAAATACAAAATACATGTATTTTATTTTGATACATTTTTGGCACCAGTAATTTGTATTTTATTTTATTTTTTTGAGGGGTAGGTATTTCTGCTGTTCCGCAGTTCTTATTTCTGCATGGGGGCCTATGGCGATTTACTCTATTTTGGAGCCAGCCTCAAGTGGCCATTAGAGGAACTGCAATTCTTGGCACTTTCACATTGACTTCATTTCTCAGCCTCAGAGGTTGCTACTTGGTGTCATAAGGCCACAGAAGGGGTCTCTGTGTGTTGATGTCTGACACCAAGATCGCTGACAAAACTGTGGTCTTTGCAGAGTTGGGAGTGAAATTACGTGGTGGTGGCCCGGTTGGGCTGAGGCCTCAAAACTATTTGGTTAGGTTAAGAAGAAAAATGGTGTTTTTGGTTATAATAACTACATTTGTTACATACTGGATGTTAGATGTCATAAAGTGACATAAGTACTTCACATAATGTGCTTTAACTACATGAAAGGACATCAAATTAAGAGATGTCAACAACGACTTTTTGTTTCTCATGAGAAACGAACAGCGGCCTCTCGGTTGAAAGTCTGATGTTTGTTTGAAACAGATGATGATATATGTAACACAGTTTATTTTTTTGTTACTGATAGACCTAAAGTCACACATGAACTGGAATTTTAGTGTTCACTGAAACATACCTAACCTAATTCACCTATCTCTGGCAACATATATTAACATTTGGATGCTGTGTATTCTTATGTTTTTAAAGGGGATGAAGTGATCTCATCTGTCAGGCCATCATTCAGGTTCAGCACAACATCAGCAGGTAAACAAGGAGACACACATCAGCTACTACAATCTCATCATACACTGTAGACCAGTTGAGTGGAATGTTAAATAATATGACACAATTAATATCCATAATAGCAGCTAACAGCCAGTTGCCATCACACATGAAACTGAATGTATCTAGTCCTACTCAGGCTGCAGCATTAATCTTGTACTCATTGTCATGGACTGAAAGAGAAAACCAGCAGCAGGCAGTGCAGAGAATATTTGATTCTGAGCCCAGCCCACCGGGTATGATATCCTGTGAAAATGAAGGCTCAGTTTAAGGCACAAAAGAAGTGCTTTTGTTTTCCTCAGTAGCTAATGGTAGCTATCACCAGTCACTCAATAGTATCCATGTGCAGTATGTAAGAGAATAGCTTTTCCTGTCTATTGCTTCATAAGTTTGTTTGCTTTGTTTTGATAGTAATTTACTTTGTTTTACGTGTTTAAGTGTTGAATTAGAGATGTCGTATTAACAAGCAGGCAACTAGAGCTTTAGTTTCACCTTGGTTTGTTGTGGCTGATATTAGGATGTGTTTTTGTCACTCACCTTTACAACCTTTGTTGATTGCTTTGAATAAATGCTTAAAGGTGAGTGTGTTGATATTTATATTTAATACCCATATATTTGTGTTATATTTGCTCTGCTCTGAGGAAAACAGAATGCAATCCTGTTATCTTTGTGAGACTTGCAACAATAGTAGGCTACCACTTGGAGACACTAGGGGGTTGGGGTGGAGGAAAACAAAAATTTAAAAGTAAAGATATCTTTTCGGGCATCAGTGTGCCTCCATTTACTGTCTACTGTTTTTACAGGGGATGACGTGACCTCATCTGATTGGCCATCAGTAAAGACCACCACCACACCACCACCACCATCTGGTAAATGAGTAAATGTATTTCATTAATAGATTAAATTGTCAATACAGTGCATCTGTGTGTAAATGAAAGTATTTATTTTTATTTTGCCGTGTATTTTAGAAATGCCAAGCTTGCATAACCTGACTACCCCGTTATGTGTTATGTTATGTTTAGTAAAGTCATTTGTAGGGAACATCTTCAGGATGAGACCTGATGCCCATCACAGTTTTTTAGGATTTTTTTAATTTGAAGAAGAACTTAATTTCCACTGGTTGATCACAATTTCTGTGCTGTTTCATTAAGATGATAAATACATCACAGTGTCTCACCTATATGTAGTTTTTATTGTGTTCATACGGGGTTACATTTGTAAAGTGGCTCACACTGAAATTAACCGCACCATTTTGCCACATTTAGCTTCAAACATTTAAAAAGGTAGTGTGATTTTTTTTTAAAATCACTTTTTACCACATTTACAGCACTATTTGAAATATGTTAAATATAATTTGTCACAGTTAAATCTAAATATTAAATGTTAAACCTAAATGTTAAATGTTAAATCCAAATGTTAAATCGAAACCTAAATGTTAAATGTTAAATCTGAATGTTAAATCGAAATCTAAATGTTAAATTGAAATAGAAATCCTAATCTAAATGTTAAATCTAAATGTTAAATATTAAATCTAAATGTTTAATCTAAATCTGAATGTTTAATCTAAATCTAAATGTTAAATATAAATCGAAATGTTAAATCGAAATGTTAAATGTAAATCGAAATGTTAAATGTTAAATCCAAATTTTAAATCGAAATATAAATGTTAAATCGAAATGTTAAATGTTAAATCTAAATGTGCTTGGTGAAACTAAATATTTAGCTAATATGCAAATTCACAATGGAGGTCAGCGGAATTACCAAAATAAAAGCCTGGGTGGTCAGACCGTGTTTATAGCATCAAATAACAAATTAAAACTATTGGACTGTATTATTATTACTAGATTAAAACTAACTGTCTGCTGTTTTTACAGGGGATGACGTGACCTCATCTGATTGGCCATCAGTAAAGACCACCACACCACCACCACCACCATCAGGTAAATGAGTAATGGATTAAATTGTCAATACAATAAATCTGTGTATAAATAAAAGTATTTATTTTTATTTTGCCATGTATTTTAGGAAGGAAATGCCAAGCTTGCGTAACCTGACTACCCCGTTATGTGTTATGTTATGTTCAGTGAAGTCATTTGTAGGGAACATCTTCAGGATGAGGCCTGAGCCCCATCAGAGTTTTTCAGATTTTTCAGTTTAAAGAAGAAATTAATTTCCTCCGGTTAATCTGATGCCCAGCTAAGCAATAAAAATGATTTGTTAAATGCTTTCTCAACAGGTGAACGTGCCTTTGAAAAGGAAAAGGAAATGATGGAGGAGGAGACAGAAGAAACCAGCAAATTTTTAACTACAGGTGCACTATTGAATGTAACAGTGTTTGACTTTGAAGTTAATTCGACAGTTTCAAACTGGGGAGGCAGGTATCAGCAAGATAGTGTCTTGAAGCTCTTCAGCATCAACACATTCCCTTTTAGCCAACCACAACTAGCTGAACCAGCTTAACTCAGTCTCTAATACCTACATTGAATAACAGCAGCTTGATATTTTGAACACAATTTTTTCTAGTTGATCTTTTACTGAACGTAAGCCTGAAGTTAAACCTGAATTGGACTTTCTGTTCTTACGGAAACATTTAACTTGAAACACTTAAGCTTAAAAATTTTACATCTCCTATCAATTGTCAGTATATGTGGGACAATGTATAAAGTGATATTTGGATGCTGTATTTGTATTGTTAGACCTCACAGTGTTTCCATTTATTCTGTCTCCTGTTCTTACAGAGGATGATACGTTTGCATATGACTGCCAATATCTGGAGTTTGACACAATACCAAAAGGTAAATGAGTAGATGTATTTTATTAACTGCTGACATTATCAGGTGTTTCTCTTCAGAAAGTGTATAAACTTCAGTCAAAATGCAGTACTGGTGATGATAATGATAATTACAGTTTGTGTGATATATAAAAGCTAAAAGACGTATTAAACCTTGTTAAACTCAATTCTCTGCTGTTGTATTTGCATCTCTGCAGACGTATACAACACAATCTCCACTTAAATTAAGAAATGCTTTTTGTCACACATCATCAACTGTATTCAAGCTCAGTATTTGCAGCACAGTCTATATAGGGCATATAAGAGGTCTGTGTTGTAATATTTGTGCATATTTAGAAACCTTTTGATATTCACGTCTTTCATAACGTGTCATGGTAGGTGTGTTTCCTCATCTGACCAGAAATATTGGCTTCATCTTGGGGCCTGCACCTCTACCACAGCCTTGCAAACTGTTGGCGAGTTGGTTTGTTTACAACGTGTCCATGACAATGCACAGAGCAGACTGGAAACAGACAAGAGGCTTGTGTTGCAAGCTGCGGTAAAAATAACTGAGACACACATTCTAAGTGGGATGTATTCATATCCAAAGAATGCCTTCGAAACCCAAATAATACTGGCGTATGCAGCCTGAAATTGTCAAATACCATCCCTTTGTCTACAGTTTTGGTGTCAGACACCAATGCAAAAACCTTTCACAGTGTTATGATACACTGCTGGTCGGCTGATGACACCTGTTGCAGCAGTATGACATGCAAATTGACTGGCTGGATGGCACCAGTGGCGTATCCAGGACATTTTTACTGGGGTGGCCAAGATGGGACACAAAGCTAGTGTGGGGTGGCCATGGCATAGCGAAGTATAATGCCACGTACGCAGCCAACCCCAGTTCGAATCCTGGCTGGAGGAACTTTGCTGCATGTCACATCCCCTCTCTCTCCCGTGATTTCCTGTCTCGTAACTGTCAAATAAAGGTGTCTATGCAGGTAAAAAAATATTTGAAAAAAAAGAGTCATTTTTTTTATTCCATTTCCACCTATCACAGTCCTCAGGAATCTCTGGTTATTTTAACATGTCGATTTTTAATCAGTAATTATGTTCAGGATAGGGTACAAATTTTCTAAGAGCCATTTCCTTATAGTGGATTAAAGTCCTCATCTCTTCACAAGTTAGATTAGGGTAGCAATATTCAACTGCTCTTAACTCATCCTATAGAACAACATTAATCAGTCATCAGCTCATCATCTGTGTCACCTGTATTGTTACCTGTGTTTGCTCTAATTGAGGCGCCATCTTGTGGTTACATAAAAACACAGCAATCCAGGCAACAGAACAAACCAAAAAATTCAAATCAAAGCTTAATACTTAAAGATAGGCCTTATTAAAAAGTTTATCTGTGAGCAAAAGATAAAATAAGCTTGTAAGGAAAAAAGGAATATTTGTTGTTCTTTACATGCTTAGTTCATGGTATTATTTAGCTTAGATATAATTTGTTCGAGATACTGGAATTTGATTTTTTTGGTTTGTTCTTTGCCAGGTGTGTTTTTATGTAACCACAAGATGGGGCCTAAATTAGTAAAGCAAACATAGGTAACAATACAGGTGACACAGTTGAAGGCCTGATGACTGAATAATGTCATTATATATGATGCCTTATGATGTACGAAAAGGGGTCTGCCCATTTTTCCGACAGCCCATTGGTCCGATAGCCCATTGTTCCGACATCCCATTGGTCGCGGCGCACCATCAAGGTAGAAATACGCCCGCCGGGAGCCGTTCAGCACCGCGGTGGTGTTTCATTCTCTCCTCTCTATGACACTTGTATCTTGACCAGTAGCCTATTTTTGTTGCGTTGCTGATCCTCTATGGTACAAAAATACAGTAATAATCACATATCAGAACAACGGGACGTCGGACTAATGAGAGGTCGGAACAATGAGAGGTCGAAACAATGCTACGGCACCGTATGAAAATGTGCAAAAAGTGGTTTTCAACCCAGACAGTATTCATGTCCAGGGCCCTGATGAAGGCATAAATTGAAATGTTGGCTTTGGTTCAGCGTGCCGTTTTTATCCACCAGTTCTGCATTTGACGTTGTCACTGTGACCGTCCTCCTGTTTCATTAGCAGCAGCAGCAGCAGCAGATGCGGCGTGCTCATCTCATGGCTGATGGCTCACCTATCAGACCTGCATGGCCATTGGCCAAACGTCCACTGAGCAGAAATCATCTCTCACAGCCTCAGTACGACCATTACTGTGTTAGTTAAAAATGTAAAACTGGCCCTAAATCAGCTGATTACCTGTCATCATTGATTGGCAGCATTTCTCTTGTTTCTTTTGTTGACGGACTTGACCAACTACCTATCAGATCTGGGGTGGCCAATGAGTTTTCAGGGGTGGCCCTGGCCACCCCAGGCCACCCCTCAAAATCGCCATTGGACGGCACTGGTCACATTGGTATGATACACCGCTGGATGGCATCAGCTCAAACATGCTGCCAGTAACAACATACTACAGTATAAGGAGCTAGAAATTCCCTTCGGGGGGTGGGCGTTGTGGCACGAGTCCAAAAAAACTCGGCCTTTTTCCTGGGAGCCTGGTGTTCACTTCATGTATAAATGTAGAGCCAAACCATAATGTTTTTTCTAAACCTAACCATGTGCTTTTGTTGACATTCTCAGAATGCCCATGAAACATCCTGGTACAGACTGAAGTTTACCAGCCTGTCACTCATGCTGCATTTTTAAGATCGTTCTTGGCTTTATATATCTGAAAGTCCACCACTAACATTTTCGTCACATCTCATCTCATCAACTAAAATTAAACAGAAATTTTGTCGTATTTTTTTAACATCAAGATGCATTTTGAGCTCATCACTGTATCGGTATCGTCATTAAAAAAAAAGTTGTTGATGAAACATTTTAGTTTACAAACTTTGCACTGTGGGCAAGAGCACAGAAATTCAGGAAATGAACCAGTGTTAATTTCCAACTAACTGGGGCTCAAATAACCATTTCACTGTCAAATTTATAATCAATTGAGAATTTTTCACATCAACAAAAAATTTGAGCCTAAATAAGCAATATCTTCAAATAAATTTCTTTCCAAAACATTGTAAGCCTTAAAAAACATCAACTGTATACAGAAATACAGTGTTTGATTCAACCCCCATCAGTTTTCATCTGAAAAAGACTCTCAGTATGACATTTCTGTTCATCAACAGATTCTCTGTATGATTGTGAAGTTGCTTTCATAAAGCAAGCGGTCACAGCTGTGTCTGTACAGTGTGGACCAAACTGGCAAGTTGTCTGAAATTACTTTTACAGCCCCACTGCAGAGACAGCCATCAGCACTTTGCTCTGATTACTCCTGGATTTCTAAATGCAGTGTTGTTCTGTATCCTTTATTTCAGCTGATCCGGGTATCCCCCGGGAAGTCTTGTATGCAGTGATTGGTGTCCTTGTTCTTACCCTTATTTCCACTATTGGGTGTCTTTGTTGGAGAAAGAATAATACAGGTAAGACACAGCTTCATAATCAAAGTGCTATGAATTGTTTTATCTTATTTAATATCTTCCTACAGGTGTCATTGATTCTATTTGTTTTCACTTTAATGGGTGACTGTTTAAGTTTCACCATAACCAGTGTTGAAAATAATTAAAGTAGCTCTCTGGGGTCCCAACATGTAGAGAGTCCTCAAGAATTCTGGAGTTAGATTTGTTTTTCACAAATCTGCAAATGTATAATTTCACATTATTAAAGTCAAAACTGATTACTCTACACACTTTGACAGACACATTGATTTTATTTAACAATATGTTCTCTCCAAAAAGGTGAAACCAGGTTCAGGTGAAAAGAGAAAAGAAAGACAGGTCTAAGAGAGGAAGCTACAGTATCAGCTTACTAACACAGTTTTATGGTGTTTAACATAATAAATTACAGATAAATAAAGCTGAATCACCCTCACTTTCAGAGAGAGACAAAGAGAGTGACTCAGCAGAAGGACTCTTGTCATCTTCTCCTGAGGATGTTACACCAGGTGAGCACAGAAAGTGGCAGTGAGGGAAATAAAGAAGTACGCCTCCTGTGGTCTTTGTCAGTTGAGGTGCATGTATTTGGTTGTTGATTAAGTTACCTGCACATGTTGAGAATGGATGCAGTAAAAGGGGAGCGGGCCTGACCCAGGCTGGATGCTCACAACAGTAACACTTCTGTTATTATTCTCTTTCTCATCCAGTACCAGACACTCACTCTACAACAAAACAGAAACTGACCACTGTTTCTACAGTGAGTGAACAGAGGACTGAAACGGCAGACCAAAAAGAGGAGTTCTTGTCAGCGCACAACGAAGTAGAACCAAAGGAGAACCAGAGGAAGCTTCAGGAAGCACAGACTGAAACAGCAGAAGTAAGAAAGGAACTCCAGTCACAGCTGGAGGAGGTAAAGAAAAGATGTGAGGAGAACAAAAAGAAGCTTCAGGAAGCACAGACTGAAACAGCAAAACTAAGAGATGAACTCCAGTCACAGCTGGAGGAGGTAAAGAGAAAACATGAGGAGAACAAAAAGAAGCTTGAGGACGTTGAGAGGGAACTCAACAATGACACAGAAATGACATTGGACAAAAAGCAGAAATTATTAGGGGAAAAAGAAAATTGTTTAAAGCAAAAATGGACCCTGAAAGAGATGTGCAGAGAAAAGGAGAAAGTGCTGATACTGATGGATAAACTACTGCAGGCAGTACATACTCCGGGTAAACACTAAACAGTCTAGGTCTCAGGTTGACTGTTTTTAGAACAGATCCATTAACAGGTATTTGTGTCTTTATTTCAGCAGCTGAGTCCATCATAATATATAATAACATGAGTTGTAATAAGATACGACATCAGAAGAAAACCCATAAACTCACATTGCTAGTTTGTTTTTGGAAACATCACAGGCTCATGTGTGATTAGCATGCAGTAATCAATTACCATTATAATAATAGACCCATTTATCACGTATACGGGGCAAGAATAACCAAATTTCTATGTGTTCATGTAAACATCATATCTCGAATATAATAAAACTGGGATAAAAGCATCACTGGAATATTCATTTCTGAGCCTGTTCTCATTCGGAAGTCATCAGATACCACCACTTTGTCAGTGATTTCAGTGTCAGACCCAAAGCCAAAAGCCTCCTTCAATGGTGATATGATACACCACCGGGCAGCGTCAGTTTGTAACGTGCCCAGAAGGATCCTTTCACAGTGTTATGACATGCAGCCAGTTGTCTGCACAGCACCTGTTGTGGCAGTGTGATATACAGACAGAAGGCATCAGGTCATTACGCAGCCGGACAGCACAGATTATGTTGGTATGATAGCCTACACCGCTGGGACAGCGTCAGGTTAATATGCTTTCCATTACAATGTAATATAAAGAGCTGGAAAGTCCCTATATGGCAGTTGGGAGGGGTGATGGGTGGGTCCAACGAATCCTGGACTTTCACCCAGGGGCTGGTGTTGGTTTCCCTTATGAATGTAGAGCGTAAACCCAACAGCAGATGCAGAAGGATAACTAGCACATAATATGAAGATGTGAAAGGTCACTGACAAAGTGGCGAAATGTGACGACTTGAGGTGACAACCTGTTGCATTTAATTTAACAACAGTGAGTATCAGATTTTGAACAGGTTACGTGCCAGGCAGAATCCAATAAAATGACAATAATATAAAAACATTATAAGAACATAAAAAACAATAAAACATTAGAAAATAGAAAACAGACATTATTAGATGACAACAGCAATTAAGTAAAAGCACATTTAAAAAAGTGTGTTTTTAAGAGAGATTTAAAAGAGGACAGAGATGTGGCTCGCCTGATCTCGTCCGGCAGGTCGTTCCAGAGCGACGGGGCCCTGATAGCAAAGGCCTGGTCGCCCTTGGATTTTAATCTAGATCTTAGAATCTCTAATAGAGACCTACCGGAGGCTCTCGGGCTACGCCTTGGCTCATATGGGACTAAGCAGTCTTTGATGGTGAACAATTACAGTGTGGACAGAGGGATGCAGATCGATAATAGCAAGGGCTTGTTCAATCATATCAGCAACTTTAAAACCGGAGAAACAATATGTAATGGTGTGAGGAAGTTCAACAAATCTGACCATTGAATCGCCAAGCAACAGAACTTCATGTTGAGCGTCTGGGGAGTCCACACCGTGTCCGTAGACATCGAGTTTGGGTTCAGCTGCCCGGTAGGCAGCTAGCACCCTAGTAGCAGTGCTAGCATGTCGGCGGTTGTGTGTGTGAGTGAGATACCTCTGTGTTGACTGTGAAGGCGAGGACCGAGGAGCCGCCGGGCCGGGCTCAGCGGAGTGTGAATGGTTAGATGCTCGCGCAGGGGGAGGCACAGGGCCAGCAGCAGGTGGTTGTGCTGGGGGAGAGGAGGTAAGCCAGGCAGGTTGTCCGGCTCCAACCGCTGGAGTGCTAACAGGGTCGTTTGGGGGCCGATTGAGGGGACAGCAAATCCGTGGGTGAGGTTGGATTTTTGGCTATGGAGCGTTTTCTGTTGGCCGCTCCAAGAGGAGCCCGCAGCGGTGAAATGACAGCTGTCCAACCCAGGGAATAGCAGAGAAACTTACCACCGAGGGCCCAAACCGGGCCCGCTAGGGATGAATCAGCACTAACACTTAAGGACATGTTTAAACCTGCGACCATATATGTGATTTTTAGGGCCGCTTGTTTTGGAAGTCAGTGGAAATCGATCATCCTTTAGGTATAAGAGAGTGTTAACATTATTTGATGTTTATTACTGGAGATGAGAATATGCTATTTCAACATATGTATGCTTATAATAATGATTTGTCATTGGTAACCTATAATAAAAATGTGTATACTGTTCTTAGTGTAACACAGTGAAGCAGGAGCTTATTTTATTCTTTGTGTTGTTCACCCAAAACTAATTTGTTTTTGATTTCATTACTACACAGATAGTAAACTCCTGATCGTACAGTTTTTCGTGACCAAACTGTAAACATATCATGGAAGAATTATTAGCAACACTGTGATGTGTAGTTTAAGACAGCTGTTTATGATTGCTAAATTGTAATGTCATTTATAAAATTACTGTAATAATTATAGATCCTATGCCAATCCAAAGGGTCTGTGTATGAGCTGATATGATTATATTGTTAGGTTGTTTTCACGCTGTCATTTGATGCTTCATCATAGGACTAATCATAGGCACTTTAAATAAATTCCTTTCTGACTGATCTTCTGTGCAACGTTTTTGTGGCCTGTTTTAAATTGTATGTGTTTGTATGTGAAGACTTACGCTCAGATGAAAACATAAACAACTGTTACAAATGTGAGTAGGAACTTTATTTGTATGTAATATTCTATAACTCTCTGTAAGCACCAGTGTACAGCCTCACAAGATGTGAGCAAGACTTTTTTGTGTAGTTTAGCTCATATACAAATTGGTAATTACAAGGTTACACACTCAACATTATTACTGAAACATGGCATACACACCAGCTTATACAAACAGTGCACAGGGCTTTAGCATTATTATCCATAATAAAGAATTAGAGGTCCACATGCAAAAACAATTAGAAATCCTTTTCCAGTCACAAACAAGTATGTACAAGCATGTTGTTGTTGTTTTTTGGCCATCTCTCATTTTAGCTTAAATATTACTGAAATGGAAAAAGGTATTTGACAGCAGATTAAATGTTATCACTCCATTAAGTAGCAACTAGCCTAAAGCAAAGGGGTTATAAGGGGCCTGCCACAACTACTATTAGGTTGAGAAGACCATTTGCACTTTCTGCAGGAAAAGGGCCAAAACACACAACACAGGACTGTCACCCATCAAACTGGGTTTAGTCCCACATGAAACTCATATTTAGTAAAAAAAAAGTAAAGTAAAACCTAAGGAACTGATAACAGCCATTGAGTGGGCTGATAATGATCTCCTGAACCACCCAGCCCCTACTGAGCCATATTTATAAGGCTTATGATAACAGATAATGGCCATTTAATAGAGTGATAACATTAGAAGCAGCTGTCTTTGGGGATATATCAGAAACATTTCTATTGATACTAAGCCTGTCAGTGGGCGCTGGGGTGTATGTGTTTGATTGACAGCTCCCTGCCGGGGGCACCACAGCACAAAGTGAACAACCTTTCACTGCTAACTGTTGTCATGGACAGATAGTGTTCAGGCAGTGGTGTGGAACAATATGGGCTGACCAGCTAATTAGCTGCCAACAAACATTAGCAGGGTGTCAGTCGTTCTCAACATCTGTCTATCATTGTTATGTTGCTGCTTTATGGAAATAAAGTTTTAAATGAAAGAAACTGATCAGGCTATGAATGTCTCTGTGTGGGCAGGCAGAGAAACAGAAATATTCCTGATATATGCACAGATGAGGGAATTTCAAAGAACTTAAGAAAAGTCAAACATAAATGTCTCTCTTCTGTTAGAGGTGCAGATCTGTCAACAAACAGTAATGCAATTTAGTTTCAATAACACATAAAGAAGTCCACATTTCAAACATGTTATCTGCTGGTCAAGTCCTTTTGTCCAGGTACCATTTTGAACCATTTAATACTCAGTATTGATAGTGTTATGTGATTGTTGTAAAGCTAATTCATTTCGTTGCATAGTCCCAGAAGAATTCATATATTTGTGTTAATGCACAACCTTGCAATGGTTCAACTGATCCTCAGAAAGAATCACTTTAACCTTACCAGAGCTTATCGTGCTAAAAATAATGAGCATGTTTTAAGAATAAATTAATCCTAATTTGTAACACAACTATGCACATTGTTAGATGTGCATAGTGATGTAAATACTTTAATTAATCAGGATGCCTCCTGGGCACCTCCCGTTAGATGTGTGCTCGGAATGTCCCACTGGTAGGAGGCCCAGGGCAGACCCAGAATACGCTGGAGGGATTACAAATCTTATCTCACCAGGGAATGCGCTGGGGTCCCCCAGGAGGAGCTGGAGAGCATTGCTGGGGAGAGGGATGTCTGGGGTGCTTTGCTTGGCCTGCTGCCGCCAAACAACAACTGGGCACAGTGATCTTGGAGTCGTGTTGTTAAAGTGGTTCATTAAATGTTCTAGACTTTACTGAAATGCTGGGGCTTAAGCTCTGTATGTCCACCATTAGCACATAATGTCCCTTGTGTTATAAAATAATGTAACAATTACAAAATTATCTCCTTATATATTAAAAGCCAACAGGTGCCTCTGAGGCATGAGCTAGCTTTTGGCTTAAACGTGAATACAGAGAATTGAAATATTAGGCTGGTTAGGGTCAGGGTTAGCAGATGTCTGACTGTTCATCAAACTCAAATATCTAAGTCAAATAACTAAGCTTGTTGGACGCACAGAAGGGAATTGCTTCCTCCAGACAGGTGAGCCAATCAGAGCACCTTATCCAAACACCATTTAATCACTGCTGGTGCATGGTTAAAGTTCACTGCTCACTGACTTACACCGGAGGCAGCTGAGGGCATGCGTTTTCACCGTCCTGGTAAGTCCTGGATTTAACCTGTTTGGTTTTAGGCTCATGGATGATGTGGATAAACAACTCTTTCACAGGTTATTCAACTGTAACAGATCAGATGATGACGTTTTTCACTTCAGATCATTGTGAACTAAAGAACATGTTTTGTAGCTATAACTGAACTGTTCCTGTTAATGTTCTAAACCATGAATGGCCACGCTCAGTGAGTTTGATTAAAATGAACACATCTGAAGGACAGGCTGGATACCTGGGATGCAGAACTTGAATTGTATTTGCTGTAAATTGTATTATGCAACAGGTTAAAATCTAAGCTGAATTAGTTCAGTGTAGTTCTGCTTTCTGTTATGATGCAGAACAAGGTTTGAGCTGCTGTGGGTTAGTTGATGATACATTCTTTGGAGATAACTTTCATTCACAATTAAAAACTGTGACATCAGTCCCACAATACTCATCTAAGATTGATGACTTTAATGAGGAAATGAGAAGTTTATTTGATTTTTAAAATAATCTGAACGATATACCTCAGCTTAAATGCTACAGCCTGTCTTTAGGAGACAACCTGTAAAAGCCTTTTGTGCAGAAAAAGTGTTCCAAAAAATTGGTTCTTCTGTAATGTAAATTATGTTTTTTTCTGTACTTTATCATTTCAGCTCATTTGGTCCCATTCTGGCTGGCTCTTTGTGTCTTTGCTGGCATGGCAGTTCTATTGGTGAATGTGACAGATGTTTGGAAACTCGCCTTGGCTGGGGGTGCTTTTGTGGCAGCCGTCTCTTTCTATGTATATAGAGGTAAATAATCTTTATAACCTTTATAACCTGTTACAGTGATGTCAAAGCTTTGATTACTTAATAGATTAATAAAAGTAGGAGGTTTTCAAAAGCATTCGATACAGTTAATCATTAAATCTTATAAACCAAATTAAGTTTCTAAGATGCTCAACGCTCAGTACTTAAATGACTTCATGAGTACTAAGGTATGTTTCTAATCAGAAGTGTTCTTCTCACATGTGCATCCCACGAGTCAGTCCCCTCTGTTAATCATCTCCCAGGCCAATCCCTGTCACTATAAAAAAAAACTGAAGTTATGTACAGTCTTCTACTTATTTTGTTCTATTTATGATTTTGTAGGTTTATATTACTTTTCTTATTCAAATCAAATCAAATCAAACTTTGTTTATATAGCACTTTTCATACATTAAAAAGTGCTTCACAAAATAAAAACAATTGCAGCCCTCTCTTGGGTTTTTGTTCTGACTTTTGGAACGATTAAAAGGCCGGTGCCGGAGGACCTCAGGGTCCGCGAGGGTTGATATGATAAAAGCAGGTCAGATAAATCAGATGGCCCAAGACCGTTAAGACATTTAAAAACTAATAAAAGAACCTTGAAAATGATCCTGAAACACACGGGGAGCCAATGCAGCGATTTCAAAACCGGTGTAATGTGCGCCAGCCCTCTGGTCTTCATCAGCACTCGTGCGGCTGAGTTTTGGAGTAATTGTAGATTGGTGATTGTCTTTTTGGGAAGACCAGAGAGCAGGGCATTACAATAGTCTAAACAAGAAGAGATAAAAGCATGCATCAGCACCTCCGTGTATTGGTATGTGACTTTTTGCTTAAGAATACTGACTTTATCAAATGTGTATTCAGTTTAAGGTTCTTTGACTTTCAAGCGTTTTGCCTCCCTTGCATATTCTATTGTTTTTAGTGTTCTTTTTATGTGCTATTAAAGAACAGTCAGGTTCAGCAGTTATTGTACAAAACCTAACAGTAACAACAAATTATAAAAAAAAAGAACAGTAATCTATGCTGAACTTCACTTCCATACTATAACCATAAAGTTTCTTAATGGTTTACTGTATGTAAGGGTTTTTGATTAATTGTTTCATGAGGTTTCACATGACAGGAAGTAGAATACAATTAAAAGATAAGTTAAGAAATACAGTCCTGGGTGAGCATAGTGAAACACATCAGGCTGATGACAGCAACATAACAACTCCAAATTCTTTTTTTTTAATCAAACTATGACAAAATAATTGACACTCAGAAAGTAAAGTAAGTAAGTAAAGTAAGTAAAACTTTATTTAGACAGAGTCAGTTGACTATGGCTGTGGGCCTCTCTATTAGCTTGTGTGTTTACTGTCATTTTGTCATAAAATACTGTTTTTAGTTTTTGATTAGCTTAGATGTCTTCTTCAAACTGACCACTTTTTACAAAAGATAAGAAGAATAAAGAGTTGGATACAATAAAGCAACAGCTACAGAGGACAGAGGAAGAATTGAGAGATGTGAAGAAACAGAATGAAGAACTGGAGGAGAAAGTTTCAGGTGAGTCAGATTCTTGATCTGTAACTGAATTCTGTCAGTATAATAATCAGGGTGGTGCTGACTGAGGTGAATGGGTTGTTGGAATATCTACCAGTAACAGAGATACTTACAGAAGAGAAGTTGACTTACATGGTGCATACCACTGAATACATGTGTACTGAATCCAATCATGACAAAATAATCAACACAGAAAGCCACAAAACACAATGAATACACACAGAGTCAGATGATTCTTGCTCTGTCTCGTCTGTGCGATTGATTCACATCACAACAGGACAACATGTGTATGCCGCCTGGCGCTGCCTACTCATGGTGCGTTTAAAGATGGCTCGGAAAAACATGTTATTACATGTTAAGTGCGGGGGACAGAGGGCACAGATACAGGAAGTGCGGGGGACATGTCCCACGTGTACCCCGCGTCCGCCACGCCCATGATTAAATCCAATTATGACAAAATAATCGACACATAAAAAGACACAAAACACAGTCAATACACACAGAGTCAGATGATTCTTGCTCTGGGCCCCTTATTGAGCTTGTGTGTTCACTGTCAGTTTAATTAAGTACTGTTTTTAGTTCATTTGTGCTTTAATGTCTCTTTGATCTTCTATCACTTCTTGACTAAAGAGTTGAATGCACTGAAGCAACAGCTACAGAGGACAGAGGCAGAACTGAGGCATATGATGAAACAGAATGAAGAACTGGAGGAGAAAGTTTCAGGTGAGTCAGACTCTTGATCTGTAACTGAATTGTGTCAGTATAATAATCAGGGTGGTGCTGACTGTAGGAGGTGAA